GCTGCTGAGCCAATTATAAACCCACAGATACTAAAAATGCTGAAAATTCAGCCAGGTCATATCCCAAGCTCTGCATGAGATGACAGAAATGCTTCTGGGCCAGCAGTCTCTGCCCAGCAGTTGAGAAACATGGGCCTGTACAGGAAGGTGAGGACTGGAAGGAGGAGCACCTTAGGGAGGCCAGTTGTTCCTGGGGAGGAAGACTGTGTCTTTTTTCATTGTGTATTCATTTTGAACTCTTTATATTGTTGTGGTAAATATTTCTATATATTGTTGTAGTACATAATTCTTCTCTTACAGTCATTTCATTTATAATAAAAGGTGGCTACTTTATTAACTAGGTAAATGAACAGGGACGATTTAACATTGGTCTATACATAGTTAAAATATTCACTTATAATCATTTTCATACACCACTGAACAGACACATAAAATGTTTTCCACATCCACCTCTAGAGCTTCTTTTTGTTAACTGTCAGGCAAGTCTCCCAGGCTGTTTTTGTCTACCTCTTTGCGTCTGTCGGTCTGATGTTCTTGCACACCCACGTGAGTATGCAGATGGATGTCAGGGATTTTCCACTTTGGAATCTGAGTTTTTCCACACAGACATCCTTTGCACACTTGTACATGTTTCATGATCAGATTCCTGGGCCTGTTTCCCTGGGGGCCCAGACCACCCCACCTCCTTACCCCATGCATTCCCTGGTTCACGTGACCCACACTGATACAACACAACCCTCTCTGTAGATGTTAGTGATGGTCCCAGTCCCTTCCTACTTAAAACAATGCTGTTGGTACTGGCAAAGAAATAGGCCTGAGGATCAATGGAACAGACTGGAAGACACAAAAACAAATGCAGATGTACTCAGCTACCTCATCTTTGACAAAGGAGCTCACCATCCTCAGTGGAGGAAAGATAGCCTCTTTAATAAATGGTGTTGGAAAAACTGGATATCAACCTGCCACAGATTAAAATTAGACCCTTATCTTTCGCCATGCACTAAATTAAAATCCAAATGGATTAAAGATCTAAATATTAAAACAGAAACATTAAACTTGCTGGAAGGTAAGTTAGGCAGAACTCTGGAAGACATTGGTATAGGAAAAGACTTTATGAACAAATCCTCAGTAGCACGGGAACTAGCAGAAAGAATCAACAACTGGGATCTCATCTTACTAAAAAGCTTCTGTACTTCAAAAGAAACCATTAGCAGAACTAAGAGACAATCTACAATGTGGGAAAAAATTTTTACCAGCTGTACCTCAGACAAAGGACTATTATCAAGGATATATAAAGAACTCAAAACAATCAGTCCCCCCAAATATAAAGACCCGATCCAAAAATGGGCATCCGAAATGAACAGACATTTCTCATACAAAGAAGTGAAAGCAGCAAGAAAATATATGAAAAAATGTTCCACATCACTGGTCATTCGAGAGATGCAGATGAAAACAACACTGAGATTCCACCTCACCCCACAAAGAATGGCTGCTATCAAGAAATCACACAATAACAAATGTTGGCGGGGTTGTGGGGAGAAAGGAACCCTCCTCCATTGTTGGTGGGAGTGCAGACTAGTGCAACCACTATGGAAATCAATATGGAGATACCTCAAAGAGCTTGGACTGGAGGTTCCATTTGACCCAGCCATCCCTCTGTTGGGTATCTTTCCAAGAGAACTAAAAGAATCATATCACAGAGAAGTATGTGCACCCATGTTTATAGCGGCACAGTTTGTAATAGCTAAATCTTGGAAACAACCTATTTGCCCATCCGTTGGAAACTGGATAAAGAAGTTGTGGTTTTTCTATAAAATGGAATATTACTCAGCCATAAAGAGCGAGAGAATAGATTCATTCATAGGAAAATGGATACATATTGAAGATATACTCCTAAGTGAAATAAATAAGTCCCACATGTGTAAATACCAAATAGTTTCCCTGGTGTGAATATTCTGCAACAATGCATAAGATTCTAATAAGATTACTGACATTTAGAAATGGGAGGAAAGGAGCTAAAGGTGTAGGGAAGGTGTGATACGTAGGGGAAGAACAAAAAGGGAAAAGAAAAAAATGTGAGAGAATGAAAAGATGAAAATAAAGTGTTTGTAGATGGGGAGGGGAGGAGGGGGTGAAGGGAGGGCAGAGGTAAGGGGAAAAAATGAGAATCAAGACTTGCCATGTAAAGGTACATGATCCCAACAATGAATGTAACTGTACTGTATCCCTAAATGTACCAATAAACTCAATAATTAAAAAAAAAAAAAAACAATGCTGTGAACAACAGTCTGGAAAAGTTGTGCATCTCTCTACATGGGATCAATCTCTAGCCTGAGCCCTGGAGGTAAAGGGACACAGGTGGGGGACGCTGATGGGAGCTGCCAGACGGGGCTTTGCTCAGCCTTCACATCCTCACCATGCTAGGAGAACATCCTTAACACCTGCCAGTCCCGCGGATGCCTGGTGATGGGTACCTGTGTGATCAGTACTGGGGACAGCATTTTGTACACTCCTTGGCCATATGTGGAAACTCCCTTTGGAATTGCAAGAGTTTGTCTATTCTCCCACGAAAATGGACTCATGAGATTGGTTTGTGCCACTGCAATATGGGCCCTCTATCGTGCTATAGGTTCTAAGGAACATTTGGATGACTTTGTCTTAATTTCCACATTGTTTTTGTTTCTGTTTTACCTGTAGAAAGAGTCATCCTTTTTTTTTCTGTCTTCTAATTCTGAAATCATGGCTGATTTGAACACCAAGTGATAAATACATACAGCATGGTATTTATTTTTTCCCTGTAAATGTTTCTTTCTGAGATTTCCCCTTCTAACATACAGTGATATCAGTCTCTTCCCATAATATTTTGCCAAACACAATTTTATTCATCGAGGTGAAGCACCTAGAATAGCAATTCACAGAGACAGAGATGACTGGTGTTGGGCACTAGAGAAGAGGAATGGGGAGGGGGTATGCATGGGTTCAAAGCTGTGGAAAGGTTCTGGAAGTGGGCAGAGGTGGAAACTGAGCAGACTTAGAGAATGTGCTGAGAATTGAGCATGTGAGAACAAATAAACACTTCACTTAGTTCTTCTCTAAATGTCTTGTAAAATTAAGCAGTGAATCAATCAGGACCTGGGATTTTCTTTGTTGGTAAATTTTTAATTACATCTTCAATTTCAGTGATTGTAATTGGGGTGTTTAAAATGTTTTTATCTTCTTTGCTCAACTTTGGTAATTCATAAGTATCTAAAAATCTGTCCATTTCTTCTGTGTTTTCCATTTTATTAGAGTACAGGTTCTCAACGTAGGTATTAATGATCCTCTGGATTTCTGTTGGATCTGTTGTGACTTAACCTTTTTCATTCCTGATTGCATGGATCTGAGCCTTTTCTTTCCTTTTTTTGATAAAGTTAGCTAAGGGTTTATCGATTTTATTTATTCTTTCAAAAAACCAACTCTTTGATTCATTTATTTTTCGTATTATCTTTTTAGTTTCCATTGCAATGATTTCTGCTCTAATCTTCATAATTTCCTCTCTTGTTCAAGCTTTGGGTTTTTCTTGCTGTTGTTTTTCTAGTAGTCTAAGATTCATCAGTAGGTTGTTTATTTGAGCTCGCTCTGTTTTCCTAGTGTGGGCATTCAGTGCTATGAATTTTCCATGTAGAACTGCTTTCATTGTGTCCCATAGATTCCTGTGTGCTGTATTGGAATTTTCATTTATTTGTAAAGACTGTCTAATTTCTTCTTTAATTTTCTCTGTGACCCTTATCTTTCAGCATGCACTAAATTAAAATCCAAGTAGATTAAAGATCTAAATATTAAAACAGAAACACTACACTTGTTGGAAGATAAGTTAGGCAGAACTCTGGAAGACATTGGCATAGGAAAAGACTTTATGAACAAATCCTCAGTAGCACGGGAACTAGCAGAAAGAATCAACAACTAGGATCTCATCTTATTAAAAAGCTTCTGCACTGCAAAAGAAACCATCAACAGAACTAAGAGACAACCTACAGTGTGGAAAAAAATTTTTACCAGCTTCTCTCCAGACAAAGGACTATTATCTAAAACATATAAAGAACTCAAAACAACCAGCACCCCCAAATACAATGACCCAATTCTAAAATGGGCATCTGAAATGAACAGACATTTCTCAAAGAAATAAAAGCAGCAAGTAAATATATGAAAAAAAAATGCTCCACATCACTGGTCATTTGAGAGATGCAGATGAAAACAACACTGAGATTCCACCTCACCCCACAAAGAATGGCTGCTATCAAGAAATCACTCAATAACAAATGTTGGTGGGGGTTGTGGGGAGAAAGGAACCCTTCTCCATTGTTGGTGGGAGTGCAGACTGGTGCAACCAATATGGAAATCAACGTAGAGATACCTCAAAGAGCTGGGACTAGAGGTTCCATGTGACCCAGCCATCCCTCTGTTGGGTATCTTTCCAAAAGAATTATATCACAGAGATATACGTGCACCTATTTTTATAGTGGCACAGTTTGTAATGGGTAAAACTTGGAAACAGCCCATTTGCCCATCAGTTGGAAACTGGATAAAGAAGATGTGGTTTTTCTATGAAATGGAATATTACTCAGCCACAAAGAATGAGAAATGCGATTCATTCCTAGGAAAATGGATACATATTGAGGATATACTCTTAAGTGAAATAACGAAGTCACACATGTGTAAATACTGAATAGTTTCTCTGGTGTAAATAAACTATAATAGTACATAAGATCCTAATGATGGACAATGTGAAATAGGAAGAAAGGGACTAAAGGTATAGGGAAAATGGGAAGGGTAGGGGAAAGCTAATCAGGGAAAAGAAAAAAATATGAGAGAATGAAAAAATGGAAATGAAGTGTTTGTAAAGGGGGAGGGGAGGAGGGGTGAAGGGAGGGCAGGGACAAAGGGAAAAAATGAGAACCGAGACCTATCATGTAAAGGTACAAGATCCCAATAATGAATGTAACTGTACTGTATACCTAAAATGTCCCAATAAACTCAATGAGGAAAAAAAATGAAAAAAAACCCTTCACTTATTAAGATTAATCTAGGATGTATTTCACAGAAACATGAAGGTATAAGTGAAAATGGAAAGACATGCAAAGGGAAATGAGGGCAAGTGTAGCTGTTTGACAGGAGCTGGCCCAGGTACAGTTCAGGAGCTGGCCTCTTCTGTGGACTCTGGAGCTCCATCCCCTTAAGGGCAGCTCTAGTGCCCAGCCATGATTTCCACAACCCACATGCTCAGGTGTAAGTGGTGAGCCCCTGATGGGAAGTATGCGTTTGATACCTATGTGCTGAAAAAGCAGACAACAATATACTCTCTTTAGCAAGGAAACAATTTGCCTGAGAAGCCTGCAGCAGTGGGAATGTCTCCCAAAATGTGCATATTGAAATTTAATCCTCATTATGGTCTTATTAAGAAGTGAGGCCTTTTTAGGAATGATCAAATCATAAGGGTTCTGTCCTCATGAATGAATGAGAACCTTATAAAAGGCAGATCAAATTGAAAATAGTTTATATATTTGATCACTTAATTATTCATGGATATATAACTTTATCAAAAGTCAAATATCACATTTTTACATAACAAAAGTTACTGTGTAAATTTGAAACTTAACTTTTTTTTTTTTTGGTACTGGGGATCGAACTCGACCTTGTGCTTGGGAAGCAGGCAGTAGCACCGCTGAGCTAAATACCGGGCCCCAGAAACTTAACTTTTAAAACCACATAGCAATATTTTGTCAAAACTAACAAATTTAAAATCCTTTTGTAAAATCAGAATGTTTCTGTTGGGATTAGGCTTTGCAGGTATCTGTGCTTTCTTCTCCTTTGGAAAACTTTTTGGGATCTTCTAGCAGAACCCTTAGGTTATGGACTTTTCAACTAGGCATAAAGTTTGGATTGCTCTTGTATTTTATAAATTTAACTCTTTTGAACACTGTCACTTCATGCCATTGGAATTGTGGCCTAATACAAAGATGAAAATGTCTCTGTTTTGCTTCCAACATTATTTGCTGGTGCTTAGCATTTTGTGCTGTATAAAATAGCACAAAGAAAGATGGAGATAGTTTGCTTTGCAAGGAAGCTATGCTTTCTCTCTCTCTCTCTCTCTCTCTCTCTCTCTCTTTTTAATAAGAAAGTACATTAAAAAGTTTTCCCCTGTATGCCTACCAGCTGAGAACTGAGATCCCCTCAATTTCTTCCAGCTATAACATGACATTATTTTTAGCTTAGGATTCACAAAGTACATAAGGAAAGATGCTAGAATCCTTTAAACATGTAAGGGTGTTGGGTCACTTGACACAACCAGTTAAACCAGTAAGACCCTATAAAATGGTTGTAGCTATGTGGTATAATGATCAGACAGGACCACGGCCGATTTGAATCAGAGCTTCACAGGATGAGCCTGAATCTCAGCAATATTGTGTCTTCTCTGCGGAGAAGTGGGACATTTATCAATTCCTTGATTGCAGGTTTGACTGTTGGTGGACAACAACTGTTCTCCTCTTATACATTCAGATGTCCCTGTCAGGTTGGGAGAAATTTTTATTATGGTTCAGCTTTTCTCATTGTTCCTGCCTTGGTGCTTCTGGCTGCTGGCTATGCTCTGAGAGGCCAAATGTGGACATTTTCCAGCAAGTACTGCTGCAGCTGTGGCCCTCCACAGCGGAGAATCAGCCCCCTGGAGCGCAGACTGGCTTGCCTTAGATTCTTCGGCATCACTGGCAGGGCCCTTGTTGCTCCGCTCACCTGGCTGGCAGTGACACTGCTGAAAGGCACCTACTATGAATGTGCAGCAAGTGAGTTTGCATCTGTGGACCATTACTCAGTGTTTGATAAAGTCACGTCCAGCAAACGAGAAGAGCTGCTAGCTGGATTTCCATGTGATAGGCCATCAGCTTCTTCTGACATGATCCTAGTAAGAGATGAAGTAGCTCTTCTGCACAGATACCAGTCACAAGTAAGTTAATGTTTTTCCTGCAATACTACACATATAGTTACTGCAATCACTGGAAACATTTCATATTTCTGCTGCTTCTTGTAATGCCTGATCATAGAGCACAAACTAGATGTCATTGGTCAAAATGAGTTCTATTGAGCAGCTATACATAGTTAGGATACTGAGCTATGAGTCGTTTAACCTGGGTTTGAGTCTTGCTTTGCCATTTATTAACCTGAAGAATTTGAGTATGTTATAGAACTTAACCATCTTTACCTCCTCAGCTATAAAATGGGAATATTAATAGTATCTACTGTATAGGTTTGTTGTGAGGAATAAATCAACTAATGTATCTAAAATTCTCAGTACTATAACTAGAATCTCTGGTGTAACAATGAATTTTAGATACTGTTATGAATATTAATACTATATTACTAAACCCAGCCTTCTGTATGTATATTCTCACATGTACATTCTGACACGTTAAAGTTGCACCTGAAATTACAGGAAGCTCAATTATGATTTAAAAGTCTCCAGTGATGTTTCTAAGTTTGGTGTCCATGGCAGGTTTGTGGCAGTAGGTGAATGGACTGGGACGAAAGCCCAAAACTACTACACTTAGAGGTTAAATTTTAGAAGTACAATTCTTGCACTTTGTCAGTAAAGAAAGAGCCATTGATTTTTATCAGTTTCTCCAAGGCATTTGGGGAAAAACATATTGTGAAATTACTTCAATACAGTAGAAACCTGTTTCTTTAAACTATTTATTGCAAATGCACAAATGTTTTTTGATCTGTAACCTTTCAATTATTAAAATTTGGAAATGCCAATGTTACTTAGTTGAAAAAAGAATCACAATCAAGACAGAGAATATCAGCACTGTAATCTGACCCTAAAGCTCAGGTGTAGAAGCTATTTGAGGATCTGTGAAAAGTAAAAACAAAACAAAACAAAAAAAAACAATGGCACAACTAACTTTTGAAAATGTTCTTACCTAAGAAAAACTAAAACATAACTCACAACAGTAAGATTTTCTTAAGATAAAAATATGATGTCATTGAATGCATACACAGATTTTGGTGAAAAGTCAGTTTTACAGTTCTGAATACCATTACCAGTGGAATTTTTGGTTTTGTGATAACAAAACCTATGTATTTTTAGATATAATCATATATAGAATTGTGTAAATTTTATACCTAAATCTAATCTTTAGAATTGAGAAAAAGATTATCAACCCCATTTTACAGATGACTAAACTAAAGCTCAAAGAGTTTATGTAACTTGTAGAAATTCACAGAGCTGATAAATGGTTGTCATGCTTATCCAAGATCACCTTGTTTCCATTTCACCAGGCTGCCTTCTGCAACTACTTTGAACTTCACTGTTGTTTGAAGAATATATATTGCTTCTCAGTGGGATTTTTCCTGGTTGATAATATGCTCCTGATAATAGTTTCAATCTACCTTCTTCCATGGGCCAAAGTAGAGTATCATTCTAAATGCACATTAGGCTATCAGCTCTCTGTCTCCCTCATAAATTCTTTCAGTGACTTTTCTACCAGCCTAAGCACACATCCAAATCCCTTGGCACGACATACAGTATCTGGTCCTTGACCCATTTCCCATGACTCCAGGGAGCCTATGAATACAAAGTTCTTGTGGCTCTTCCAACTCTTCATGCTCTTTTTCCCCCTACCTTCTCCCCTATTGGAACTCTCCTTAACTTCTTCACTCTGGTCAACTTCTGTTTGAATAATTGAAGTTTGAGCATCATCTTAGGGAAGTGTTCCCTGATTCTTCTCTCCCTTCTGTGCATCCATTTCTCTTCCGTTGTGTTTCCTCGGGTGCTATGTTGATTCAGATCAGAAACCATCACACTCTATTATCCTGGCTTCCTTGTTTCCCTTTCCAGGTTTAAAGAACATATAGAAAATAAATCTCCATCTCACTTCCATTACCAAACACCATGTAGTGTGTAGTCAACCTGGAGCTCAATAAATGATAATTGATAAATTAACGGGCATCTGAAATGCTTTCTCCTCTTCTATGCTGGCCTCTATTGAGCTAAATTGTTGTGCATATCACTTTGTAGCTTTTAGAGTGCAACTGCCTCTCTGTTCATATCCTGCTGACAGTAGGCCTACAGTGAATGGCAAGGTGGAGAGAGGCCCCCCTGAGCCGACTGACTGCATACTGCTGGCTTCCTGAAATGTGTGGTTTGTCTTCTTTGCTTTATATAGTTATTGATAAATTTAGAAACATAGTAATAAGGGGCTGGGGATTTAGCCCAGTGGTTCCACTGCCTGCCCAGAAAACTCAAGGTCCCGAGTTTGATCGCTGGTACCAATAAATAAATACATAAATAAATAAACAGATAGTAATGAAAGGCAAAAAAGGATTCTAAGACTAGAAATTATTTATGTTGGTCTTTAAAAGCAGGTGCTAAATATTCTCAAACAAAAACTACTTTATTTTGGAAGGAAGACAATTATAATGCAGTGACTGTACTGTACTATCAATAACACATTTAGAGGCTCAAGTCTGTTCACTGACTTTGTTGGTTGCAAAAAGTAAAATGGAGAGAGCATTGCAGGAAGAAATACCAATACATACTTGTTGGCATGCCTTTGACGACATCTTTGGAGGTTGCCATTATACTCTATCACACCATCTCTTTCGTCACCTACTAAATAGCTATTAAATTCCCAAAGAATGTATGCGCCTGTAACTTAAAGTTGAAAAGTAAGGCTGAGCTGTAAGCAAATAACAGTGTTTACGTATCTTCTATAAAATTGATTAGTGGGTTGTAGCATTTGTCAGTTCAAGAGCAGTACCACATTAACTGGTCACATTCCTCCGTAATCCAAAAAAAAAATCAAGTCAAAATAGCTTGTCCTAGCCTTTGTCAGATCTATTTCCACATCAAATGGTGAGTGTTTTGTTAATGTATTAAAGACTGGAAAAACAAAGTTTCTATTTTTTTATCCCCACCCCACCATTACATTCTTTATTTTGAGGCAGGGTCTTGCTAAGTCGCTAAATTGGCTAGGCTGGGCTTGAACTTGTGATCCTCCTGCTTCAGGTCCAAAAGTATTGGGATTACGAGCATGCACCATCATGTTAGGTGAAGACAAAGCTTTTACTCAAATTTTAGTTCTCAGCTTTATAAGAATCCCTTGAATACCTGATGCATTGATTACTTCTATTTTTCTTTCTAATTATGCAAAGATGCTGGGCTGGATTTTGATCACCTTGGCAACCACTGCTATACTGGTCTCCTGCTGTCTGGCGAGATGCTGCTCTCCTCTCCCCATTCTGCAGCATCACTACTGGACCCACCACCTAGAAAATGAGAGAGAGCTCTTTGAACAGGCAGCAGAGGAACACTCCCGGCTCCTCATCCAGCAACGCCTAAAGCAATTATTTGGCTTTGTTCCTGGGAGTGAAGATGTCACACAGATTCGAATCCCTTCATGTCAGGACTGGAGAGAGATTTCAGCACCCAGTGTTCTGTGCATGGAGGATGCCACTCAAAGTCTGTACAGCTCCCTTGGAGAGAGGGTGGTCGGAGATAGTGAGGAAGAAAAATCAGGAGGTATTGAGTTAAAACCTTGACAAGATCACCTTTCACAGGTCCAGTTGCTTAGTGGGTACTTAATTTTGAGGACATTTTTAGATTTTTCTATTTTTGATATTTGTTTAAAGAAGCCCATCCATCAGTGCCAGTCAATTTATCTGATAGCTGTGCCAGTCTATCTTTCTGAAATTTCATTGAAGGTGTGGCAATATCTATTGAGTCATATTGGTCTAATTAAAAAAAGCACTTCTGCTAGCTACTTATTGGACTTGAGTTCTTCATGTATTCTAGTATTAATCCTCTAATATCTAATACATACTAATATCTAGAATATATCAAGAACTCAAAAAATTGAACTACCCCAAGTAAAAGATCTAATCAAAAACTGAGCAATCAAAATAGACACTTCTTACAAAGAGAAGTACAAATGACTAATAAGTACACACAAAAAAATGTTCAGCATCTCCGCCATTAGAAAAATGCAAATCAAAATAACACAGATTCCATCCTATATGACTGATATCATCAAGAACTCAAAAAAACAACAAATGCTGGTAAGGTTGTAGGAAAAGGGAACCTTTCTACATTGCTAGTGGGAATTTGAATTAGTACAACCATTATGAAAATCAGTTTGAAGATCCCTCAAAAAACTCAGCTGTACCTCTTCTGTGGAATCTTAAATAAAAATTATACAAGATGTGATACATATATGTATCAATTCCCCTAGATGTAATTATTATGTATCATCCACATATAAAGAAAAAATATGAAATTTTTTCATTTTAGTTTGCATCTCGGTTCTATTACTTAGAAGCTGTGTGAAAATTAATATTTAATAAAGTAAGAGTAATAAATGTCACTTCTTCCCTTCTTTGAATTCCATGCCTTCTATCACTTTTTTCTGTCCCTTTAATTTCCGGCTTTCCCTATTTCTAACTTTACATAATATCCAGGAAAATTTCATTATCTTCTCTTTCTTCAAGCCTGAATATCTGACATCTTGGGGAGCAGGATAAAATGCTCTTTCAAACCTGCTGACACATTACGAAGGTGTTGTCATCCAGCCATAATCAAGAAAAAACACGATGCACTGTTGTTTGGTCAGCAGTACCTTAAATGTTATTTGCAGCAACTCCATTATAGGATAGTTTTTATGGCTAGTATATAAAATTTATTCTAGAGGGCTTTCCCTCTGTGTTCCACTGTGTACTTTTCTCTTCCAAATTGTACCTTTGCCATTAAGTCTGTGTGAGGAACTAAGACTGAAGTTTATATTTGTATATCTATTACTAGAACTCCAAAGGTGGTAATGCCTGCTTGACTTTCATGGCCTCACTGTGCTAAATGCAACCTCCATTATTGGACAATTTTCTATATCTAGAGTATTTCAAATACATATTGCATCTCATGCCTGACTTTTGCCATGTTCACCTAAGCAACTAGCTCACTGGCCAAACTGTACAATATGAGGGCTTTATTTATTCATTTTTAAGCAAAAGCAATGATTTCTTACTATCAATAGAACAAATGCCAGTGGTCAATTTGACTTTCAAGATTCACCTTCAAGGAGACCAAATAATTTGGTTATCTAATACATAAACTACCATTTCCCTGGTGTTTCTACACAATTACTGAAGATCTCATATGAATCAAATTGAGTCTTTCGACAAGTAGAAAATATTAGGGTTCCCCCCATAAGAGATTGCTGAGAGTAGGTCAGGAGATGTATCCTTCCCTCACTATTACCTATTAGTTTAACTATGCACAAACTAGTTCATCTCTGTGTATGTTAACTGTCTCATGTATAAAATAAGGCTAATTATATCCTATCTTCTGGAAGGCAAGAAAGAAAATTAAATGAATTCTTGAGATCCTTTCTAAATTGGTCAAGATCTTCATGTTGACAGGTTAATAGGTCAATATATTTATGATCTTTTAACATCATAGTAGACCCAGGTTGCTTCTGGAAGAAAGTATCATTGAGTTTGATTTTGAATTTTCTCTAGAGATATCCATTAGCATTCTGCTTTTTAAAGAGTATTAGTATACTATTTTTCAAATGGCTAAGAAAAGCATCAACTATTATGTGTTGATATGAACTTACAAGAATATTTTAGAGACAAGATAGAAGTATGTTGTGGAAGGCAACTATGGTTCTAGTTTCCTCTGATACATGAGCTGGTCAACATGGAGGGTTTTAACCATTTGTTCTCAACGTCTTCTCCAGCTCTAAAATTCTATAGCTCTATATGCATGAGAGTTTTAAAAATTCTCTATACTGGACTTACTATTTAAATGAACCCTTTATACCATGCTCGGAATTTGTTTATTCGTTTTCACTGTACCACACAGTAAAGACTCTTCAATAAGATTTTTAACTAGCGGCAAAATCAAAGATTGTATAAAATTATAGCATTACATCATCAGAAAGGAGTTTGTTGTTTATAACTAATACCAGGAAACTTTGTTTCTACTGACTTCTGAAGATCTTTCTACATCAAACTCTTTCTGAGTATGGCATATGGTGTTATACTTTGAGACAGTGAATCATGACCTTCTAACATAGCTTTCTGGTAAAAGGGTATAATTTTTTGGCTCTTCTACATGGCTTCAAACTGTTTTATGAGATGTACATAAATATTTAAAGGGTAGTACACATCTTTGGGATCTCATTGTGCATTATTCATTTCAAATGTTATAAATTTAATTATATTTTTTGTCTATTTTTTTGTTCCACAGCCAGCTAAATAAACTTCTCCCATAAAGTTATAATACTCCCCCTTTTATGCTTACCAGACTTATATCATTATAAAATATATCATTAGAATTAATTATGTGCTAATACTACCTTATATTTTGCTGCCAAATGCTTTTGGCCACCACATCAAATTCCGTGCCTGATAGACAGAGGCTTGCTGACTTAATTGCAATTCTGTCACCTCCTGTACTCTCCCCCACAATCTAAATTGTTCCTTCATATATGCTTAACTCAGGATTTCTTTATATTTTCCAAACCTGAATTGTATACAGCTATGCTTACACTCTGTCATCCTTGTTTCTTTTCTGTTCCCAGCCTCCAACCCCATTAAAAAAATCAAATTCATGATTGTAATACACAATAATATGTTTTTAAAACTGTTGTCTCGCATTTGGATTGTACACAAAGGGAAAGCACATTTACCTGCAAACTTCCAATTACCAAAGGCTTAATGGATACAAGACTAGGTAGGTTTGTACCATATCAAAAATAAGAGGTATCAAGAGGCAGTTTTAGCTTCAAAATAAAGTCTACCAAAATTTAGCTCTGGTAGATAGTGGTAGGCAGAGGGGAGCCACACAACTGCTTCCATTATTGCAGAAACATAAATCTGTAAATGTGTCTCTTGGAAAAAAGAGACAACGGATGGCCTTTCCTGAGAGGCAAACTGCATTATGCTCGACCTGAATTACTTTTTTGTACTAAGCATTAAGTGTATTAAACTTCTCTAATCTCAGTACACCAGAACTTCAGGAAGAAAATGGATTTCAAATGTAGTTTCCTCTGCTGCCACCCAGTGGTCTATGCTGGTGTATGCATGCACCTGCCGTGGTGACCCCCAATCCAGATGTTAACATCTGTAATCCAAAGATCTGAAATTGCAAATGCTCCAAAATCTGGAACTTTTTGAGCATCAACACAATGCATTGGGGATACTCACTGAGATCGGTGTAAACGCTCAAATCTAAAAAAACAACAAAACAACATCTGCCACCCAGTGGTCTATGCTGGTGTATGCATGCACCTGCCGTGGTGACCCCCAATCCAGATGTTAACATCTGTAATCCAAAGATCTGAAATTGCAAATGCTCCAAAATCTGGAACTTTTTGAGCATCAACACAATGCATTGGGGATACTCACTGAGATCGGTGTAAACGCTCAAATCTAAAAAAACAAAACAACAAATCCAAAACACCTCCGGTCTCAAGCATTTTGAATAAGGTATATCAACTGGTAGAAGTAAAAAATAATTGTAGTGCTGACTAAATGTTAACTGCTTTAACCAAAATATTCTATTTATGTTAGAAAGTAACTTGTTAATTGACATAAATAATGTAGTGAATGTGATTTTTGTAAATTCTTATTCAAATAAAGTGCTTTATTTATATAGTTATTTTACTAGATAAACGGTCAATCATGAGTCATCAACCGGAACCCATGCCTACTTCCAAAAACGTATGATCTCCCATTTTATTAACGAGGTAACATAAAGAGAAGTCAAGCAGCATGCCAAAGATCACACCACCTACAAGTCATGAAGCCAGAGTCCAGCTGCAGCAGTCTGACTTCTGAACCTGTCCTCCACAACTCTGTGAGAGCATGGTGACAGAGGCCGTTTATTGACTTCTAGGACCCTGTAGGTGCTTCAGGAACTCTCCTCGTATGCATACCAAGGGCTAACTGGAACATCCTGGACTCTGACAAAAAGATGCCATGTTGCATGTTAATGAAATGGAATTCTGCAGGGAAATTTTGCTTCAGTAGTTCAAGCTGAACTTAATATGGGAAATTCCCTACTTGAAATTTTTCTTTGTTCAATATGTCCGGGTCTGGCCCACCTCACCTGCCGGAACATGTCCGAGCCAGCTTCTATATCACAAGAATGTCTTCCTCTCTAGAAGAATTTTATCATTTTATCAGAATATAAATGAGATAGAACCTCATTTTAAATCGTCCAATGAACATGCTGCCAGTGTTATGTGTGAGCCAATACCATGATTGACCAATTCTTCCAAAGAACCTCTCGTAAAGAGCCTTGTGATTACATTGGGATAATTTCCTCTCAAAATCTTTACCTTGATTACACATCTGCAACTCAGCTATTGCTGGCATTGAAGGCTTTCAGCTGGCCTTGCAGATTGTGTCCAGATAATGTGCTTCCCTGTTGATCAAGGACAGCCCTTGCTCTGGAATGAGACACTCACAGGCACCTTCACTGTTCTTCCACCTTTGGAACTGGGAAGAAGGCAGGGTATAGCCAACATTGAAAATGATCCTGTTTTAGGGATGCAGAGATTATGGCCTAAAGAAACTAAGACAAGACATGGCTAGAATAGGTGGTAAATTGAACTGACTAGAAAACAAATGATCATTCACATTTTACTGCATACTTTGGTTTAGACTTGAATTTGTGGTCAAGAAAGCACTTTTTATTTATTTATTTTTTTTTGTACCAGGGATTGAACTCAGGCCCTTGTGCTTGCCAAGCAAGCTGTGGAACCACTGAGCCAAATCCCCAACCCAAGAAAGCACATTTTTTGAGAAAGTCATTGGAAGCCAGTGTTTGGGAGCAGTGTCATGGGTCATGGAGCTTAAAGAATAATGACATGATCAGAATTTATGCAAAAGATATTAGGATAGATAATGCAGAGGCAAGAACTATACTGCTAAATGACAAGGAGCCACAGCATTGTGTGTAGTAGCAATGGCACTATTTTTATTTTAAAACCAGTTGAAAGACATGAAATTAGGAACAGTGCATTTGACAATAAAGAACATGAAGAGGCTCTTCAACCTAAGCAGGAAGAGATGCCAGGTGAACACTTTGGAGAATCCTTGCACAGTGATTAAACAATAAACAAATGCATATTTACCTCATTATTATTCTAAATCATCATCATGAAGTTCACTATACCTTACATAGGCCTGTTAAGTTTTAAAAATACATTTTAATACAATTAACTAAAATTGTTTAAATACATAGGGATCCTGTAACCAAATCAGGCCTATTTTTCCCTGCTGCATAGTATACCAATCACTGAAAGGGTAAATGTCACAAAGGGGAGTTCATGTAGCACATATAGAAACCACATGTAGAAGAGGAGGATACCCAAGTCTCAAATCTGTCAGGTCTCAAGGACTAGGGCTCAGGGAAATTTATGGGATGAAGAAGTTGGGTGATTTCTTAAGGTGTGGGGAGAGTGACTGGAGGGGGAGTAACTGGTCTTTATAATGGCTCTTCATTGAATGCGTGTTCAGAAAGGGTGGCATTGGTAGGATCCAAGGGTGCAGCTTTTGGCCTCTGGCTGTCAGAGTTCACCCAATATTCGACACTTAGGAAGGCAAGTGTCCAGGGCTCAGTAAAGAGTCTGTGGTTCCAACAAAAGTGGCCTTCCATTCCCTGAAAAGTAATCCAAGCAACCACTATTATCATGACCCACATATCACAGTTATCTACAGCACAGTTCGTGGCTGACTAATAACAGGGCAGCTGAGTGACCTCCAAAATTAGTGATGCTTACAGTCAACCAAAAGCAAGTGAAAGTACAGGATTTATCCAAGTTTTCCCTAGGTAAGACCACCTTCCCAGTATGTTTGCCTGCTGGATATTGCATACTTTAGGAGCAACACTGACTCAATCTTTCACTTTTTTCTGCAGGAAGCCAAATAATTGAGGATTTGAAATTTGACTTTCCATTTTATCTCTCAAGCTCATTTTCCTTCAATAAATTTTAAATTATTTGTATTGCATTTCACTGTCTTTCTGTGCCTCTTTGCTCCTGGTTTGTTCTCCCCACCTAGTTTTTTTCCAATCCAGAGCAAAGATGTGTGTGTGCATTTGTTTATGTGAGACAGAGACAGAGACAGAGAGGAAGGAGGGAAACCTCAAAGAGATAAAAATGATCCAAATGGTCATTTCCAATGGCAGAAAAGAAACGTACAAATTTTGTCTGCTCACCTCACACTTCATTTTTTTTTATTGAGTTTATGGATACAGTACAGTTACATTCATTGTTGGGATCATGTACCTTTACATGGCAAGTCTTGATTCTCATTTTTTTTTTTCCCCTTACCTCTGCCCTCACACTTCATTCTTACATGGAAAGTCACGTTGGAAGTGCAGCTCCCTTAAAACTGTCCTTGCTTTGTTGCTATTATTTAGATGCCCATCTGTTAAGGATTTAAGAACAGCATAAGGCTGTAAAGTAACAACTCTGCCCACAGAAATACTACTCCTTTGGTTAAGACACCTTTCGTCAGATAAGTTAACTGCTAATTTTGAAGTCTGGTTCCCCGTAACAGGTTCAAAATAAGCAAGACTTTGAGGAATAATAGGGTTGTACATCTAGAAAGAACCTTGGAAACTGCTCACCAAAGTCTTTATTTTATAAATGAGGCTGAGACTGACCCAGAAAAAATAAGCACCTGGTGTTTGCAGGGTTGCTTCTTATATTTTCTTTGATTCTCAGTACAATCTAGTTTTCACTTTTTTTTTCCTGAAAGTTTAAAAGAATGCCCCAAATCAACCCTAAATATTTAAAACGTGGAATCTGTACCAGTGTTCAAATATTTGATAGAACGTATTCCTCTACTGTACAAAACATTTTCCAATTTAAACCAATCAAGATGCCTTTTGGTCCAAAGGGACATAATCATTTTAACAAGAAAGCTTCAGAGCCTTCATCACCAGGAATGCTGTTTTCTTACACCTTTCCACTTTTAAAAACTTGGTATCATTAAAGAGCACAGGCTCATTTAGCACCATGTCGCCATCTGTTTAACACTCGTCTCGTAGAAGTTGCTGCCACGAGGGAGTGTGTCCTCCGAGGTGGCATTCTCGAGTCAGAGGTTCTGAACACTTCTCACGGTCCCACATCCGTGGCACTGCTTCTCAAAACCCTTGCTGAAAAAACAAAACAAAACAAAACAAAACACCCTTGCTGAGATCTACACCCTCGACCTTTCGCCAGAGGCGCCCTCACACAGCTCCGGGAGGCCGCGCCCAGCTGCGCCGTTCCGCAAAACCCAAAAGGAAGTGCAAGGACCAGAGGCAGTAGCTCAGAGACCCACACGCCCCGCCCCCGGCGACAACGCCCCGCCCCGCCTTCGGCTCAGACCTCGAGCGCAGAGCTCGCCGAGGGGCTTCTCAGATTCCGGCCTCGCAAGGCCCCACAGCCAGCCTGAGGTGTTTTCCGCGAATGCCAGACAGTGTGCCTTCTCCGGCCAGCCAATCCCGAGCAGGTGTGGGACAGGCGGCCTGCAGGACCCACCGGCCAGGCTGAAGGAGTCGAACGCCGAAGTAGCGATCGGCCGGGAGCGGCGTGGGGCTGTGTCTCAGCTGGCCGGGTCAGGCCGGAGGCCTTGCGAGTCGGCTGCGGCGC